CGGAGTCCCCGCGGAAAGGAGCCAGCTTCCTAACCAGGTGCTGAGCACATAAGGCATAGCCTCAGCTAAGTGGGAGACACGGGTTTTTACGTTGTTTTTGTCAAAGTCGTACTTTGGCTGGGCTGCTGTGTAGTTACGAACAGCACAATGCGAAGAGGGAAAGATAAGGACGATTTCTGGCACGTGTTGATTGATTGTTTGGTTTTTTAATAGTATTACCATTATTATTCTGAGCAAAATTCTGTCTGTTCCAGGTTTGGGTTTGCAAATACAGTGCTACCAGTGTGAGGAGTTCCAGCTAAATAATGACTGCTCTGCTCCAGAGTTCATCGTGAATTGTACGGTGAATGTTCAAGATATGTGTCAGAAAGAAGTAATGGAAAAAAGTTTTGGTAAGAATTCAGTAATTATACTTCTGTTTATTTGTGTTGGATGGCATTTGTTGGTTTTGGCTCCACCCATTCACAGTCTTCACCTACAGATGAATCTGGCATTCCTACCTAAAGGGACCAGGTTCAATTTCTTATACTTCTGAGTGACTTTGCAACTCAATGAAGTTAATCATTTTCCTTTAAAACTGGTGTGAAAACTGAAGGATGCAGGCCAAATGTTGATAAAGCTGTTAATACACAGTCTTATGGGTCGCAGATTTAGTTTCCCAGCACTGGGAAATTAATAACAAGTTAGTTTAATCTCATTACAGTTAATTACATGGGCTTTTTCCCCAAGAGATGGAAGAGCATTAAATTAGTAATTCCCTCCTTTCTTTTATTTACTCTAGCAATTCGTATACTCTGAAGGTTCATCTTAAGGGAAGGAAAGTGTAGTCATCTTTGCTTTCATCCATAGAAGAAAACATCAAGCAAAAGGGGGAGAGGGATAAAAACAACATTTTGGGGAGTTGGGGGGAGAGGAGGGCACAAATGGATATATTTGCCATATTCATTTTCTAAGTCTAAGGGGGCTTTTCCCTTACTGTAACTAATATTAAGTTAGCATATTTGGAGATAAATGTGTTCAAGAGGGAGCTAGCTGTGATTCTGCTTCTCGCCTCTGTTGCCTTTTGACAATTGTCTATAAATTGCTTTTTTTTATTCAGCATCATGGAAGGCATTTGAGATTTAGAGAGAACTGTCTCGGTGTGTAGACCACCACGTTGAGTGAGTAGAAGACTACAGCTTTATTAGGGACTTGAGGGCGGGGTGGGGTGGCAAGGAAGCGTGTTTGTGGGAGTTGGAGTTCGTGCAGCATCCTGCTCTTGCTGCAGACAGCCGTTAAGGCGCTGGGCATTAAAAAGGGCAAGCTAGCAGCAGCTCAGTGGTGTGCCTCAACACAGATGTGACCTCTGTACCAAGCGGTAGGCTCAAGGAGAAGGCAGGCTGGGACTTCAGAACCCTGATTAAAGGGGAAGCTGCTCTCTGGGGCTGCGCATCTTGCAACTGAGGGCAACGCTTTAGAGCATGGAGTTTACTGATGTAAAGGACTGTTGTTATGCTGTTAATATAAATCAAGCTGTAGTCTGTCCTTTCTCAGCAAGTCCTTCGGTAACAGCAAAATCCTCCTCTACCTAGCAAATGTGTGCAGCCATCCATCTTGAACGGTAACATTGGGTCTTTGCATTAGGAAACTATTCAGTAGTATTTTCAAAGTGCTTCTCAATCGGCTGGTTCTGCTTGTGCCGGTAGTTTCAGATCACTACATTAGGAATTATAGAAAAATAGTAAGAATTGTTGTTACCTGTCAACAGTAGCTGAAATGCTGCCACTTTTGTTTCGTCCTGGGTAACACCATCCAGTGACTCTATTTCTGTAAAATATTTAGCAGCTCTCCAGTGTAGAGAGAAGAAAGCTATATGTTTAAAGGAAGATTAGTCTCTTTCAAGCTATGTGTTATTGGAGTATTTTATTTCAAATTTACTTGGAAAGGGTGGTGGGGATGGGAGATACTTACAGCTTGCTTGCAAGGTACTTTTAAAGTCCGAGTATCTCTGAACGTTTGAAGGCTTTGCTCTCTGCACACCACAGCTTCTATAGTATTTTAATAGGTTTGAATGGATGCTGTGGTGATTCAAAGGGCAATCAACATGGTATATAGACACAGACAAAAAAGTCAGTTCTCATTCTTAACAGTTGTTTGGTGTTGCTTGTTTGTTGGTTTTTTTTTTAAATATCTTCCCTGGTTCCTTCACATTTTCATTTCAGTACAACCTCCGACTGTATCAGCCTTCCAGAAACGTATCTGTAATCTTTCCTTCAAGTGAAGGTTGGAGAAGTGTTTTCGGTCAAGTAAACACCTCACAGATGAAAGTGCAACTCTTCTGGATAAGTGGGCTTGCACGCGTGCACGCGCACCCCTGCGGACGTGTTATGAGACAGCCACTTGTGTGCTGCCTGGGTAGGATGGGATAGTCAGCTGTGCATCTTTTCTCAGACTAGCAGGCAAGACTGCGGTCTGGCCAGTGTGACTGTGGCACGTTGAAAATGCAAACTGGAACTGTTTTAATAGATTTTAGACATACATTGATGCATAACTTGTCCTTACTCCTGTGAAGAAGTTGGTTTGCAATATACTAAATAAGGAGCTCTTAAAAGAAACTTCTGGGTGAGGGTTTTTTTCTGTGCAATTTTATATTGTCTCTGAGCAGATCCTTGGATTTTCCCTTTAGGAGGTAACTAGCATGCTGTGCATAGCAGGCACCACTGTTCTATTTTATTTAATTTACTTCTATAAATGCAGTTCTTACTCACTTTAAGCTTAGAGATTATAAATTTCAGCTAGTGAATCAATTTAAATTTTTAACCTAACTATTCCAAATTGAGTGAAATTTACATTGCAAGCTTAGTTTCATTGTTACCCTCGGTCACTTCTAGAGAGGATTGGTTGTAAAACAAAAATGATTCAGTTCATCATCCTTTATTGGTTTTTTTCCTAATTGATATTTAAATGTGTGTCATATAAATGCCTTATTCTTCCAAGTTTTATTTAATAATTCATTCTACTTCTACCAGTATATTTCATAACTTGATTCTTTTGGTTGTTGCTTATCACTGAAAGCTGAAATGTTTCAAATATTGATTTTAATTTATAGTAGACTTGAGTTTGAATTTTTAACCCAGAATATGAAAGATGTGAATTTGCATTTATTTGACAGCACAATCTCATAATTAGAGTGTTTCCTCTTGACTAGATACAGTCAAAGGACTATAATTTAATTTTTATAGACTAACCCATTTTTGTCCTTAATAAAATATAGCTGTGTCAGTGAGCAAAATGTTACAAGTTCTCCTAAACCTTATTTAAAAGTTAAATGCAACATTTTGAGATAAAGTTCATGGTCTGAATCAGTAACCTATTGATGTAGTCACCCTTCCTTTGCAGTATGCATTAATCTGTGTGTTTGTTCTGCTATCAAGGGGGTCACTGACTTACATTCTGTGGTGTGCCTACAATATAGTCCCCAGCGTGTAGCCAGTGACTTTTTTTTCCTTACGTATCTGTTAATGTTCATTGAGTTGTGCGATGACAGCTCTATGGTTCGGCTTCATTTCGGTATTAAACTTTCTATAAACAATGCTGGTGGAGAACGGTGAGACTGTGTAGTTTTTTTCATTTATGTTGTAAATAGTTCCTCATGCCTGATCATAGTTAAACAAACCTCTCCTCTTCAGTTGCTATAAAATTAGGGTTAGTGCTCAGAACATTATCTCAATTTCTGGAGAACCAATCTTAGAAAGTACTTCTTGGCTTCACGTGAGAAGTAACAGCAGCATAGGCATGTTCCTAACCCAGAGCTTAAAAAGCGGCTGTTGCTGTGACAGCCTCTGATGTGAGTAGCTAAGAATGCAGGTGTTAGTCACCAATACTTTGAATTGGATCGGCAGGCGTGTTATCCCAGCTGTTTGTAGTATCAGGTAGGAGTTTGCTCCATTGCACAACTTAAAATGAATTGAGCAGTACGTCAGCACGTATCTGATTAAGCAATTATGTGGAACTAGTATAATTCTGCCTCCCCTGCAAGCATGCACTGCGCTATGGCAGTTTATATTTCAGTTGCACTTCGGGGATCTGTCAGTGCACAGAATTGGAGACTTTGTCAAGTAAATGACAAAACATTTTTCTCACTTTAAGCAGAGTTGTATTTAAAAATATTGCTAGAACAAGTTTTATGCAGTTATGTTAACACTCTGTTCCAGTGGGAGATACAGAAGGACAGGACAGTATTTTGCTTGTGATGCAAAATCTTGCAAACTAATTTGTTAATTTAATCTTTAAAAAAAAAAAAAAAATCAGTGCTTTCTTCCTTCAGAGGGATGAATGGTGAGCATGGGAAGTGGCACTGAAGACTATACCAAGTAATTTTTGTCCTACAGAAATTAACGTAAGGGATACATTTCCAGTGCATTCTTCAGCTGGATGAGCAGGTGTTTGATCTTTTGTCAAACATTTAATTTACACAGTTTTCAAAGCTCTTTCAATAATTCCACTTGCAGATACTTTGTGGAAATACCCATGGCAGATTCCCCTCTCCCACTTGCCTCTCTCCTTCCCATCTACGAACTTCTAACTTAAAAATCAGTGCTCCTTCATTTTTAGAATATATGTAGGAACAAAGAAATCCCACAGTATAATGGGATCAGATAAGACACCTTGATGATAGGTAGATGAGTATATAATGTATATATGCTTTTATACATATATCATAGAAAACATACTGATAATGAAGTTTACCTTTTACTGAAGGCAAGAGCTATCTGAGTGTCAAGGCTGATCTAAAACCTACTTAAGGCAAAATGAAACTTGCAATGTGAATAGATCAAAAAGGAATAAAGCATGACGGTTGAGACAATCACCCCAGAAAGGCAGCCAGTCTAAATTTCTGAGAACTCACTGTAAGTAAACCTGCCCATGTGTACGTTTTGAACAATATACCTTGTGCTCTAATGTAGTTGCAAATGTACTTTTACAAATTTACTTTTGCAAGGAAAAAAAAAAAGATCCACAGTAGCAAGACTGATATTTTAAAATGTCTGTCTGTATAAAACTAAGATTGTTTATGAATTTTCCTTTGCAAGTGAATTGGGAAACAACCTCGTTATTTCTATCAATCTGCAATAAGAAACTTGCTTATTTGTTTGGTTTATCAATGGTCCTTCTAATGTATTTACACAGTATATAATCCTGCAGTGTAATTAAAGCAATTGCTGTAATGGTGTGCTTAAAAGTAGTGCATGGGAACATCATGAACAAGATCAACTCACTATTGAACTATAATTCTATTTATTTATCTAACTCTTCTCAGTATTGGTTTCCCAGTCATTTGTTTTATCAGGCAAGGAAAACAGTGTCTAAGTTGTGTGATGAGTTGGCCTGTGTTAAATTCTTTACCTGTGAT